TGGTAGCCAGCTCTGATTAACAACCCCCACACCCCCGCCTCAATCAAGCTGACAGCTGACGTTAAACTAGAACAGAGTTCTTTCAATGTTGCCGGTGGAGGTTCCACACCAGAGGGTGGCTTTTCTTGTCAGAAGCCACTGGGTCGGAACGGGAACGCGTTCAACTCGGACTGGAACGGGTGACTCCTGTGTGCTTGCGGAAGTGTCTCGTCAGCGACGAATATGAAACGGCAAATTCCATGTGAGCACATCCCACATGCCTGTAGTTATCGTTCAGCCACAACAGAGAGGAAGAAGGCATTTCATCAATGTGCAGTGTTAAATAGCGATGAAGTATGCTACAAATAAATGTGAGCTTGTATCAGTCGTAATCATCAGCAAGACCGCCTCGATGTCTGAATCAGACACAGTTTTTCTCTAACCGGTAGTCCTCGGATCTTTATCTCATTTGCTTTTTCTGATTCGCCTTACACATTGGACTCCGAGAGGGAGTGGGGGGGGGGGGTGTTCCTCAGGGTGCAGGTTTAGACCCTTTCACCTCATTAGTCGAAATATGAGCTGGTGTCATCCAACCATCACACCATCTGTCAGGTTTTTCATCTGTCAGGTTTTTCATCATCAGCTCATGTTGACATTATAATAGAAATAAGGTTGTTGTGGAAGGTCCAGACACCTTAAACAACAACAAGAGGCTGCAACATCTCAGCGGGCCTGGGAGCAGCACCCTCTTGTGACCGCAGAACCAAAATGCATCAACAGCCGCTCAGTTTAAGCCACAGACTCTACACACGGCATGCTCAAGCTTCTTTTTTTTTTGCAACATCAGCTCTAATTTCTCTGCATGCATTCAAGTAAAGATTGTGGACTTAAACACACACGTTATTTCCTAGCAAGGCCAATATAATGTGAAACTTTCCAGAATGTATCATATCACACTTACTGTGCATCGTGTCATACATACTTCAGCTTTCTTCAACTACCTGTGACATAACGCTAAAGCTAACTCCTCCTTTATGGACCCGCCACATTAAAACACCACACACCTCATCTGCCTCTACAAGCTTACATCATGAAGTGACTTTTTAAATAAAAAAAACTAAACAACAACAACAACAGGTAGCTAATGCTCGCTTTTCTCTTGTACATACATGCACACGGCACACACAGCAGAAAACATGCACTTAATAAAAGCAGCTCACCCTCGGTCTGGTGTGCTTTTGGTATTTGGGTTGGAAAAAATGGGACTCTGGGTCTTGTTCATTGTCAGAGTGAAGTGTTTTTTTTAATGTTTTCATTCAGAAATGTGAAAGTTGCTGCACAGGGGCATTATTGTGTTAGTGAGGAAAAGACACCACTTGGTTGGTTTAAGGGTAGAAGCAATGAAATGTCTTGTGTCTTATATCAAGTTATATATCTATATGAACTATTGTTTGGTTTATGATGTGACACCATGGTAGCCTTTTTGTATTGTATGACAATTTTATATGGGAAAAATACAAAGTGCAAAGCAGGGACATTTGCTCTTTAATTTTTTTTTTTTTTAATATGGAGCAGTTGAGTTTTTATTCGAGCCCTCCCTACAGGATATGTCATTTGAAAGAAAATGCCATTAAACAGTTTTCTTAATCAAAAGTCATAAGTAAAAAGTATTCTTCTACTAAAGCATCACTTTTTAAAAATGTTATCAGGATTCTAGGGCACAAATTTCTCTTTTTATAGCTTCTGGGGAAAAAAATTGTTTGTTTATCGCGTCTTTGTACATGTCTCCAATGTGCACTTTATATATATTTATATATATATATAAAAAACATTCCCAAAGCCAAACATCTTTTAATCACATCAGTAATAGACCTGCTGGTCAGTTTGATCTGAAACATTTAACAGGTGTCTTGGTTTGTCATTTATGCCAGAAACAGGTTCTTTTATTCACACGCAGACTCACACACACACACACACCGAATGTAGCGGCTCAACTGATCTGCATTTGCCCCTGGATATTCTTTGCTTGTAAATGTTTTTTTGTATCTCTGCAAATATAAGTTGTAATATATATATTTTATAATTGATTATTAGACTGAAAGGGCAATTAAAGGTTTTTATTAAGCATGATTTTGATACTCTCACAGTAATGGATATTATACATTTCTATAAAGTTGTGTCTATAATAAACCCTATCTCTTTTTAATCTAAACGTTGGCAATTCAAAGGGAACATGTTAAACTGTGAACATATAACTGTACAGGTCTGTCTGCGATTTTGCATTTATTTTAAAACAGAATATTCATACCACTTAATAAACTTATTGATAATATTTGCAGAATGGA